TAATTGACCCATGTCAATTGTGGACTATGAAATTGAAGTGTGGCCGACACTTAAAGCAGCTTTCTTAGACCTTAAGTAGAGTGATGATGAAGAGTGCTATAACCATACAGAATGCAGTGGAGCCAGAATCCACTGAAGGTTATTTACATAGAGTTTACTCGAAGATGCTTTTTATTGTTCCTCTGTATATTAGCGAGCCTTTCATTTAAAAAGAAAACAAAATTTTCCTTCTTTGGAGAGACAGTACTTTAATGAATGCTAAGAGATTAGAGGACTGTATTTTGCATCTATTAATTTTCCCTAAGTGATTTTATTATGTACAAAGTAAACTCAGGGCCAACTAGACAATGTCTAAGGGCAGATTTGCCTAGAGAACCAATAAAATAGACCAAAATCTAGAAAGAGAACCAATAAAATAGACCAAAAGCTAGAAAGTGAAGCTAGGGCAGGAATATTTAAAGATTTGTTTTAAGTGGCGTACATTTTGTAATTTATTAATTTTTTAATGGCGAAAGTAATTATTTCGGTGTTGGTGACGCAGGCATGGACAGCATGGAATGTTTCCTTTTATTACAAAGTTGCTTGTTCAGAATGGCTGGTCACTTAGTAAAAATTATACATGGGGCAAATAGAATTCAAGTCAAACAGGTTTATAAGTTTTGCTGTAGGAATGGAGGATGGGTGTTCACCACCAAGTGAAGGATTTATCAAGGAAGCTGGGAGAGAAACATTTTCACCCTGGAACTTTGAAAGCCTTTTCAACATCCTGCTTCCCTTTTCATTGTGTGGGAGCAACAGGTCAGGGATTGCCTAAGGCAGCCTTGCAAATTGGCACCTGCCTTTGTGCCTAAGACCTGGAGGAAGTGGTGGGGAAAAAGAGGCCAGGGAAATTTAATAAGTCTGTACCTTTTTCTCTAGCCTTTTGCAAAGTTAGCTCTCAGTGGAGATTGGGCTTTGATGCCTGAGGTGAGAGAAGTAAAGCCCACCTCTGATTTAGCCACAAGAAGTATTTGCTGCAGGGAGACACCTGAGCTGGTGCTGGACTGGAAAACAATAAAGGTATCCAGACAGGCAGAGACAGCCCTCCTGGTCACATTTATCTCTGCGTTTGTACTATAGAGGGTACTTTACATGGACTTTTACAGTTATGACCTCATTTGTTCCCAAAGCACCAGTCCCCCTACTCCCCTTTGGTGTTTGTTTTTGACAGGTGAGAAAGGTTCCCATGGCTCATCTGTATAGCTACCTAGTGACCTAGGAGGGAGGGAGATAAATGGTTTTACCAGTTGTTCCCTGTGCTCATCACAGGGCTACCTAGTGACTGAGGGAGTGGGGAGATAGATGATCTTACCAGTTGTTTTCATAGCTCAGTAGATGGAAATTTGCTAAGGGGATAAAGGGTTTTCACTTGCTGGCAAAACCATCCTATCTTTAGAGCAATGGTGGTGGCTGATCAACAAGTTCTACTTCCCAGACTTTTCCATATCTTCCTTTCTTTTCAGTAAATGAGAAACCTAAGACTGCTTACATAGCCTACATTTGCTCTTGTTTGCATAAGTAATTTCACCACACCGCTTGATTCCTGGTGGGAAAAAATATAACGTATCCCTGTGATGTTGCCTGTTCAGCTCTGCCTTTCCCTGGGTTTGTTCTTTTTTATTTGTTTGTGTGTTTGATTTTTTTATCCAGCCATTTTTCTTCTCAGCCATCTACAGTTGTTTTCAAACATCCATCACACCCTGGGCACTTCTCACAGGGATACCTGACTGGCATGATTTCAGTAAAGGAAGGAGAGGGTGTGATGGTGACACACCTGGGCTCCTTCTTGGGGAACCCAGCTGTCTCTTCATGTGCCCTTACTCTCTTGTTTGTAACTTCTGGTCCTGTGTTCCCATGCCTGGCCTTCTGATCATAATGAAGCCACAAAGCATATAAGATTGGCTAATATCTACCTATCTGTTCTAAAGCCTTTTACCTCTTTTTAGTTGTTTTACCTCCCCACCCTCCACCACCACCGTGGAAATTGGCAAAGCAGAAAAATCACTGTTATCAGGAACATGTCTTAGGCTCCAGCTGACAGCCAGAAATTTGGCTAATAACAGTTTCATAAATTAATCAAATCAGATAATAGTTTCTGGCCCCTGGTTGCTTATAATCTGAATAGGCAACAGTGACCTAGGGCATGAAGAAAACTCAGAACAGTATTGAGAAGGTATAGACGATGTGGAGCCTTTTGGAATCCATCGCTGTCTGCTACTTAAAAGATGCTCTGTGGAAAGGGTGGTGTTTGTAGTTTAAATGAATGAAAAGGTAGTATTTAAGAGGTTGGTGTTCCCAGCTTAGCAATCATCAAAGAAGATATAGAGTGATAGGTATACCTTGATTGATCAGATGAGTTGGGCATTGAAAGCTTTGCCTGAAAGGAGTCAGGCTTACTAGCAAGAGGAAACCAGGAAAGTGAAGTTGTTGCAAAGCTTTGACAGGAGTGAGAATATTGGGCCCAATTCCTAGAACAGCCCCAAACCAAATTTGGTTGTAGAGTTTTTTGAAACAAGAAGTAGAAAAGAAATGTAGGCAACATATCAAAAGAATAAAGGCAATATTAGATCAAACCCGGCAAAAACAAAAGCCATACATCATGAATAAAAGGAATAACCCACCCTGAGCCCACATGGTCTCAGCAGTGGGATGATTGCTAACATTGCCGTTGACAGAATGCTCTAAAACATTTATGGTACTTGTAGTGGTTATCTCTAACTGGGGAAAACTGTGAGCAATTAAATGTCTAATACTTTTCTGTATTTTCTGTGATAAACACTTAATATTTTATAATCAGAGGGGGAAAAAACGTAAAAGAGAAAATATTACCAGCAGAGAGCACAGATTGAAGTCTGACTATAATACTCAAATACTGGGAGGTGTGGTTAAAGGTAAAAAGTAATAGATAGAGTAATAAGCAAATTTTGTTTGAAGAATTATACCTGCCTAAAAAATCATTCAAATGATTTGTTTAAAAAGCCAGTAAGATGCTGATTTTCTTTTCTTTTTTTTTTTTTTTTTCTCTTTTACTATATTCAGGGAGGAGCCAGACATGAAGCTTTAACTGATCTTTATCTGAATTGGTTATCAAATTGGTATCAAATTTGATTGTCATCTGGACAGAGTCTACATGTGAACAAATAGCTAGGAGAATTTATAGAAAGGCTTGAAGGCAAGAAGGTCATAGTGCTACTTCCACACACTACCTAATACAACTTTTTAAAACCTAATTATAAAGGATTGAGTGCTATTTTCTAAATATTGATGTGCTATAACTGTTTCCCCTCAAACAAACAAACAAAAACTGGGACGGACAGATACAAAAAACATAGAATTCCTGACTTTTTTTGGACCTGTCTCTGGAGCTCCCTCTACAGTGTCCTTCGAACCAGCTCAGGACATGGTCCTAATAAATGTGCAGTTGATAGATTAACCGTCCTGAGCATAGGTTTGCTCATGTGTAAATTGAGGAGCTTAGGTGTGGTGCATATTGTGGATCTTAATTTCCATTAGACAGGTAACAGTTTGGAGGTAGAGAAGCACAGATGCATGGGCTGGTTGGTAGTATGTGAGATGGACCAGCCATTGTGTAACTACCTGTATGCACAGTGAATGGAGGCACACTTAGCATCCATGCGTGAACTGACTGAGAAATGGCCACATGTCCAGCCAAACCTGGACAGAGTCCAGATTCCAAGCATTTGTTCTGGTTGGAAGGATGAACCAAACTGGGATTAAATTTAATAGGATTAACTATAAAGTCCTACTTATGTTACTTGTTTAAAACAACTAATTAAGTTGTTTTAAACAACTCAGTCAATAGCAGTTTCTATGAAAAAGACTAGGAGTTTTATAACTCAGAAGTCTTAATTTCCATCAGGAACAAAATGTGTTTGTCAGAAAAATCAAAGCTACAGTAATAGATGTGTGGTGTAAAGGAACTTTGACAGATTAGAGCCAGCATCAGGCAGAAATACCAAGGTTCAACATTACTAGGCATCAGTAAATGTCACTGGATGAGGCCGGATCTGTTGAATCTGGATGGATTCATTATTTTCTTTTCAGAATCTCTATTTGGTGAAAATTTGGGGCTATTAGAAATCTGTGAAAGAAACAGCATTAAATCATTAAATGTTGAAAAAGGGTGATTTCCTTCCCACTCAGCCTACCCAAAATACAATATATGTGTTGTGGTTTTCTCTATAACATTATATCATATTTCTTGGCACTCATTAATTCCTGGGGTCTCCACATGGCATTATCTTGGCACAAGAAATTATTTGGTGAAGACTTTGCTTTAGGAGCTGATTGCATTACACAGAACTCTTAAATGCATAAGAATTCTTGTAAATATTTTAAGGCTTTACAACGGGTGTTCATCAATGCTTCATAAAGTCCAGATGGTGGATAAGTATGTGAATAAATTAATGGTATACATGACTCCATGAAAAGATACATAATTTTTTTTTCTGGGAAAGAATCCAACACTTTCATCAGATTCTCAAATACAAAAATTGGATCCCTCCCCTCTCCACCTCTATAATTTGTCTTCTTGCTAATGTGTAAACAAAGGGGCATCTTGACTGTGTCCTCCCATCTTATGTTGAGAGCAGCAAACATATCTTCCTTGAATTGCCAGTGACCCACTACCAGTAGAAATTTGAAAGGATGTCACAGGCAGAGTTCCAAAATTGTTTTAATAAAAATCTTAGCATTGGAGTGAGACCTACCCTTTCCCTCTGCTTCACACCATATAACAAAACTAGTTTTATTTTTAAAAGCAAGACTCAGACTTGTTACTTGAAGAATTTAGGTTATTTTTTATTGCTCCCCTTTTAACTTGTGAGGACAAATTTGGTCTTCTCCAGGAATATTTTGTTCTGAGGTGAGTTCCAAAGAAGCTTGATCTTCTCAATGGGATATGTGTTTCATGTGGTTTTTCTTCCTTTGCAAATGTACAGGGTGCCAAAGCATGCTTTCTCCGGGACATTCCTTTCTCAGCCATCTACTTCCCATGTTATGCTCATGTGAAAGCTTCCTTTGCAAATGAAGATGGGCAGATTAGCCCTGGGAGCCTGCTGTTGGCTGGTGCCATCGCTGGTGAGTGTCCTGAATGTAGTTCTGTTACTTCCCCATAACCCACCCCCAAATCCCCTTGATGCCCACCCAACCCACAGTACTGGAATTTTTCACATATGACTACATATGAGTTGGCTATAGATTGCTTTGAATAGTAACTGAAAAGTAAGGATGAAAAAGTAATCTTTATTTTGGCAGATTAGATTATTAGGCAGGCTTAATTTTTCTTAACTGTAAACAGGACTCATTAAATACTGGTTCACTTTGTGGTCTTGATAGATTCTAACCAGCTTCCATATTCCATAATTTCATTTCATAGCATAAGAATGATAATAGTTCAGTAAGAAGTTCTCAAAAAATTGAATACTTGTGCCTGAAAGGTGTCCAAAACAAAACAAAACAAAATCCTGCCATACAAGCTTGTCAGGAACTTAAGCAATAGTTATTGTCATTTAGATAAAAGAAATTAATGGAACCAGAAATTACCTAGTCTGATTAGCAACACCTTTCCTCCCAGCTGTGTGAAGTTAAAGGGATGAGGTATGTGTTAATTAAATCACAGAAATAACTGTCTTCTGTTTTTCAGTTCTATGATGAAAGTATCAATAGAAGAAATAGATATTGATTATAGGCACAGTCGGATTCAGTTCTGCTCTTGTAAACCTCCTTGTCCTGAGACCCTAAAGGTTGGAACAAGCTGGATTAGCTCTCCAGGTGGTGACAAACATTTAATGAGTTCACAAACCCTGAGGCAGTTATGGGAAGCCTAGCTCCAAACATTTTTGATACAGGTGTTGTTCTCATCAGATAAGAAGCTAGAGCTGCTCGCAAAGACAGCCTGAGAACAAGCCCCAGCTTCAGGTGTCCCCTGCAGGCAGGAAGATGATAGCTCCTCCTTTATACTTAGTAAAACTGGTTTTCACAGGCATTGATTCTAGCATATGAAGCAGGTTTGTTCTTTCCTGGCTAGCTAAATGAGTAGCTATGAGACCACTGTTAAGTGCATATTAAGAAAGCATGATCTCAAGTCTGGAATATAAAATTCACAGTTTTACATCTAACCTAGCCATTGATTCACTGTGCCTTGTATAAGTCATTTACATATGCATAATGAGAAAATATTTTGAAACAAAGTATCAAATATATTTTTTTTCAAATTACTTTACTTGAAATTAAGTAGGACTGAATGAAAATTAATATGTGACCTTGGGCAAGTTACTTAACTTCCCCTAAGCCTTGCTTTCCTCAGCTATTAATGGAGATCATGCTTGTATGTATTTTGGAGTGGGATTCTCTGTCTTAGATGGGAGCATCCATATAAAGGATTTAGTGTAGTGCCTCACATGTAGTATGTGTTCAATTAATGTTAGCCAATATTAATACTGAATCTAAAAGAATCTGTCTGTAAGTCATTCCAAGTAGCCATTGTGAAATTAAAGATGATTAGTAGAGCCCAGATCAAGGTCTTGGGCTCTTTCCTGAGTTTTGTTTTCTTCACAGCACAAAACTGTTTAACTATTCTCTTGGGAAAGATAGATACTGGGTAGGAATTTGCAAGTTAATCCATGCTTCCAGAGCTATATAGAAATTACTAGTGGATATATTCTCTCTGTCTGTCTGTCTCTCTCTCTCTCTCTCGCTCACTCTCTCTGTCTCCTCTTTCTATTTTATTTTATTTTATTCTTTATTTTGGTGGTATTGGAGTTTGCACTCAGGGCCTTGAGCTTTGCTAAGAAGATGCTCTACCACTTGAGCCATTCTTCCAGCCCTTTTTGCTTTAGTTATTTTTTGGGATAGGACCTCCCCCTTATTGCCCAGGCTGGCCTGGACTGCACTTCTCCTATTTATGCTTCCCACATAGCTGAGAGGACAGGCATGCACCACCACAACCAGCTATTGATTGAGGAGTGGAGGCTCACTAACTGTTTGCCCTGGCTGACCTTGGACCGAGATCCTCCCAATCTCTGCCTTCTCCTAAGATTACAGGTGTGAACCACTGTGTCTGGCCCCTTTTTTCTCTTTTATGATTTTTTTCTTCCTTCTACTTTTTATGATTATGAAAGTAATATTGCTCACTGCAAAATAATTGGAAAGAACTAGAAAGGATAAATAAAATATTGCCCTTAGGGTAATAGTATTCTACTACTCTAAGATAATTGCTATATAACATTTTGAATGTTTGGAGTAGTTGACATCCCTGTGCTACTAAATTAACCTTACAGTTGTCTTGTTGTCTTTCCAGACACCTGGATTAGATACTAATTGATACAAATCTATTACCCCAAAACTTAGTTTTAAACAACAAACACTCTTACCCCACCATTTCCATTTTGTGGGTCTGGAACAGGTTACCTAAGGGTACCTCTAGCTCAAGATCTATCATGAAGTTACAGTTACAGAGGTTCAAGGTGGCAGCCAGAGCTCAAACAGGCTTCACTGAGTTGGGATCCACTTTCATGTTGGCACAGTCACATGGCTACTGACTGGAGGCCTCAGTCCCTTGCCCCAGGGCCTCTCCACAACACAGTGGCTGGCTTCCCCCGAACAGAATGGGAGAGAGAAAGAAGCTAGGGGTAAGTAGCCTTAAGACTTAGCCTTGAGACAAACAGAAGCACAGGTGTGAATGCCAAGAGGGGAAGGTCTTCAAGGGCCATCTGGGAGCTAGCTGCCACACTTACTACAGAACATGTACTGTCATATTGTTATCTGTCTGTCTTCCACTAATCTTACCCTTCCCTGTGTGATGGGAAAACATAAGACACAGTGTTTTTTTAGTCTCAAAGAATGGAGTAGCTACAAATTTGACAGTCCTGTATATTCTACAAGTCTTCCAAAACTATGTAATAAGAATTACACAATTTTCTTAATTTAGTAACATATCAGAAGCCAATGACAAATGTCATAACTACCATTCTCATTAAAATTACATATAAGACAAGTATTTCTCTCTCATCTTTGTTATTCAGCCTTATTTTGGAGGTTCTAGTCCTTTTGGTAAAAAAGAAAAAAAGTAGAGGATAAATATTAGAAAAGAAGAAATTAAGCTACCATTATTTACAAAGGAATATTTACCTGAAAATCCAAACTAAGCTGCTTTGAAAAATGTATTTGACTTAATCAGTAATCTATTTTGTTGTAAAATAAACATGAAAATCTATTTATAGTGATTAGCAGTTAGGTGATACCATGGAGCAGACCGGATAGTGGGCTGCTGAGTGTAGATCCTCACTGCCCAGGGAGCCCGAGTCAGACTGGTGACTTACTTGTTCAGAAGTGTGTCCAGGGCCACCCTGTAGCTCATATGTTCTGGTCCGTGTTCCCTTTGTGGATACCAGTCAGAGGAAAGGTATTTCCCAGGTGAGGATATGAAGTGTATGCAGAGCATCCCACGAGGCCATCCGAGGCAGAAGCAATCTTCATTACCTTTAAGGAGAAAGTTTATCTCAAAACATAAAATTCTCTTATTCATATGGCAGTTCAGGCAGCTACAGTGAGTAGTTGTTGGCCACTAACTTATTTATTATGAAACAGAAGTGTCTCATGAACATTTTGATATGTACCATGTTGAAAATGATCTCTTATACAGAAGATGTATTTTGTTGCTGTTGAACAGCCCTGTTATAGGGTGGATTTGTTAGTGACTTCATATCAAGCTTTCTGTGTTTTGGTAGCAATTTTACTTTTTTAAGTATGTACTATTTCACATGCTCAATAAAATTCAATTAATTTTGAAGTTAGATTTCTTTAATAACACACATCTTTTTAACAAAGGTGGTTGTTGGGTATTTTAGAATCTGGAGAATATTTGTTTTAAGATTTTTGTATTGGTAATATCTTTAAATATTAAGACCATCTACTCCATTATTTCACAAGGCAGAGCAAGGTCAATTGCTCTGTGAACTTATGTTCATTGGCCAAAATACTTCAGCATGTCAGAAAGTCAGGGCTGAATCAAAGAGCCTGAAATTAAGAAACCAAATTCTAATTCCCTGTAATTATCTTGTTATTTTTTAATTAATGAAGTTTATTGCAACATGTTTGTGGGTGATACCAAATAAAAGCCATCTAATGCTTCTTAAATTTTGTACTGTGATCTGTCACTCTACCAGATGACTTCTGTTGTCAGAGTGAGAAGATACAGTGACACGTCAAGTTGCATTGATGGTCTTGCCTTTGAATTAATTAGCTGAAACTAAATCTTAATTTAGGATTATTTTTAAAAGCTGTTCATGGTATATATAGATATGGAAGACTTGTTGTGTGTGTATTGATCACAGTGCTTTTGCAAACATTAGAAGGATGTAAAAAGAGAAGTTTCATCAGATTAAACAAACAGTTGTGCAGACCTCAGAACCAGGATGGGTTCAGAGTCTGCCCTGTGACTGGAGAACACTTATGGACAGAAAAGGGAAGTGAGGGACAGAGATAGCTAGTTGCCCACTTGACTGCTTTGGTTGGCTTAGATTTGGCTCTTTATTACAACAGAAAATTCTTGTTAGGTTTTCAGTTTGTTTTGTTTACATACCGGGTCGAGCTGCTGTCCCTGTGAGTCTTCTGAAGCCCCAGTTTAGTTTGATTTAACAGTTCTCCCCTTTTGGTCACCCTCTCCATTTTGAGAGCTTGACTAAAATTTAGGGCACCGATGTCACCTCCATCATCATCATAAATAGACCTATTTGGTCTCACTAGGGAATTCACAAATCTTACTTGGTCTCAGCTTCTACTGGGTGATAACAGAACAGTTGAGTTTGTGAAGTGAGAACAAAGAAACAGGAGAGAAGTACTATGGGCATAAACATGTTAATTATGCAGACATAATACTTAAGATAATTTTAATGCAGTTCTTACATTCTTAAAAATAAAAGGTAGTACAGACACTGGATTGAGGTAATGGACTGAGCATACTTACCCCATCTCTCTCTTCTCCAAATCACCCTAAAATGTCAGCAAATACATTTTAGAAATGCCTTATTGGACCGAGAAAATGGTACCATCTGCCCTCACACACAGGAAACAGCCAAATAGACTCTGAAACTGAACTGGACAGTGCCACAGCCCAAAACACAGGCAGGGAAAACTACTTCTAACGTAGAAGCTAAACCGGAGGATTTTAACCTCTGATGGATGAGTCCCTGGTGTTGGAGGTGGAGGTATTAGGGTAAACCTTGAGTGAGTTAAGAGAACTGCATACTTCTGCTTCATCTGGAGCTTCAGGCAACACTTATCTGCAGGTTAAAAGCTCAGAGCTGTAGTTTAAAGAAAGGGGCAGTGGACTTGGAGAAGTCAAGTGTAGGAACTGAAAGAAAGCAGAGCAGGCTTCAGGCAATGTTTTATCCTTACCACAGGTGCAGGAAACAAACTAAAGACAGCTCTTTCTCAAAGGAGTAGAATAAACTCTACATGCAGAGTGAAACTCCACATACCAGCAGCTTGCCTTACCCCTTGCACATTGGGGACCCTCACATTCAGGAGAGAGACCTGTGGGGGAAGCAGGGCTGCAGTATGGTAGATGCTACTGCAGCAGTGTGATATACTAGTTAGCCTGTCCTTTGAACTTAAATATTTATAAAGAGCCAGAGGTCTTCAGACAGGAACAAGCAATAACGTGAGTGGACTGAAGAATTACAGAGAAAAAGGCACTTCAGGGAACAGAAGGGAACTTTAAAGAACTGTAATTATTAGGGTCCTCAGAGAGATTTGAAAGAAATTATGAGACACTCTTTTGAAAGTTAATGAAAGGATTGACAAAATTAAAAATCTGGAACAGGTTCTGAATGATAAAATGGTTGTAATAAAGACCAAGGTAGGCCTGATGTGGTGATTCTTATCTATAATCCCAGCACTTGGAAGGCTGGGGCAGGAAGATCCTGAGTTCAAGACCAACCTGTGCTACACAGCAATCTGGAAAATAAGACAGAAAAAACTCTAGAATGTAATACAGACATACACAGAAGGAAAATAAGACAACATTTTAAAAACTTGAAGGATTAATTTATGAGGTGTAGCATCTGTTTAATAGGAGCTCCTTGGGAAGAAGAAATAAGGCAGCAGGGCCAGAAAACAAGTTAGTAAGGAAGATGGGCTTCTCTTCTTCTCATCTGTAATATAGGTATCCACCAAATGCCAAGGAAGAGATGCAGAACTGAGATTATATTTCCAGGCACTGTAGCATTCAGAAGGGAGGACAAACTATTTCCCATGTACAAGGACTCAAAGGTTCCCCTTCACAGACCTTCTCTGCAGCAAAATGAGGAGTGGATTTAAGGAGAACAATATGAGGTATTTGAAACAAGCAAAAGTTGAGCTGTGAGTAGATCCAAATGACTGCTGACATTGGTCCATATATTTATTATACAAGAAGGGTTGTTGGGAGACAGACAAGGGAAAGAAAGCACAGGCATGGAAGCACTGATGTCCTCACTGTCATCTCACCTTGCTGGATGAGGTGCAGATGTTGATGGACTGCACACTGGTGTGACCTGTACGTGAAATATTGAAACATGTTTCTTTAGTTGAGAAAGTGGAGAGGTCGAAGGGAAGTAACTAGAAAGTAAAAGTCTTATGTAAAATATCAGAAATAAACCCAAAAGCCACAATAAATGAAATGGTTTCAGTGCCTCTAGTAAAAAAAAACACTTTCAGATGAGTTCTGAAAAAAAATCTAGACATTTGAGAAAACAGTGACATAAAAAGATTAAAATAGAATGGATTGAAAGATGTATACAGGCAGTAAGTAAGCATAGGAATATTAGTATCAGACTACATGGAATTGAGTTAAAATAGCATCCAGAAGGACAGAGGTTCATTTTATATTTACAAAAGATAAAATTCACTACCAGGATATTATCGTCAACCTTTGTGTGTTATCAGGGTAATGCTGTCTTAGAAGATCTCAGCTTAAAAGTTTGAAGGGAACATGAGCTTGTCTCAGTCCTGGTGGGAATTTTATCACACTGCTCCTAGAAGCTGACCTATCAGGTAGATCATGTCGATAAGAATGCAAAGGGAAATTGGGAAACTTCTAGCCTTGACCTAAAATAAATATGTTAACCTTTAAACTATAAATAGAGAAACACATTCTTTATAAACACCAGTGGAATATTTATGAAAATTAAGAATTTCTCAGGCCCAAAGCTGTGTTTGCCAGTTGTATTTTCTTTTTACTGTAAAAGATCGACTATCTAGTTGCTGGCCTCTGGGAGACTTGCTGAGGAGTACTGCATTGTTCCTGTCACGGAGGTTGTGGTGGCTGCCAGGGATGCACCTTAGTCTCACTGTTGAAGAATCAGGCAGGCCACTACGAGTGCTCTTCCTGGTGAGGGCCTGGAAGACACTTCCCTGTCTCCTCTTGCCCTTTTCCACCCTGCATCATCAGGAGTGGCCATGCCATCATTGTGGCCTCAGACTTTTTTGCAGGTCAGGAAAAGCCAGTCACATTGTCTCAGAATCTTTGCCAACCTTGGCCCAGCAGCAGTTCTCTGGTGAGCAAGCTCTTTTCCAGTACCTTCTGCTCTCCTGGCCTCACTTTGGGACAGCCTATGTCATTCTCCAAGGTCATCTAGCAAATCCCAACAACAGAAATGTCCTCGCCTCTGAGATCTCCACAGTTGCTCCCAAGCCCTAGCAAACGTCCACTCAGGAGAGATGGAGCCGAGAATGCAGGTGGCACTTTTAGTCCAGTAATCGTATCTTTTCTTCCTGCTCCCACTTCCTCAATGCTGCTCTTTTCATGACAAGAACTGTTCATGAAAACTACCACAATGGGAGGGGAACGTCTTACCCATTTTGTTACTCAGGTCTGTCACAGCCTGCCCGCCATTGTGAGGAAGATTTTATTGCCTGTGTAACTCTTCCTAAACCAGGAAGTAAAACAAAATTGGTGGTGTGAACACAGTGGGTTCCTGAACATTTTTCATGTTTCCTTCCATTATAGTGGAGGATAAATTCCTGGCTCAGAGTTAAAAATAATTCCTCCAAGCTAATAGGAAACTCAGTGTGACTTACCCAGCGAAGCATTAATAAATCGAGCTTTTCACATGCAAAATTGCAGAGCATTTTGTAACAGCCGTTACCTAAAATTAGTGTTTGAAGAGCTGAGGAAAGATGGAAGAGAGACTGCCATAGCGATGGACCAGGGAGCACGGAATATGCAGATTTGCACACACACAGCTCTCACACTGCAACTTTAATACTGTCTGTTAGGAGGATGAGATGGCAGTATGAGCCAGACCATGTTGGTTTGGACAGAAATTCTTACAGAATTATTAAGCCTTAAAAAAAGCAAAGGAGATTTATGCATCTGCATTTGACCAGTTTGGTTTGGAATAGGTTCGTAATGGAAAAGTAATAAAACCATAAGAGACAGTGTCTTCGGAGCACAGCCTCACTTTGAAAAATCTAAACATGGGCTGCCCCATTTTGGATAAAATGACAAGAAAAATTTCCCATTGGCAGTATTGGGAGGGATTTTTATTGTTTTTCATTTTTCATTGATTATCAGCCAGTGTAAATTTTAAGCCTTCTGTCAAGTATTTTTCAGGGTATATCAGTCTTTGGAAAAAGGAATCCTAAAGTGTTATCTGTGGGAGTGTCATGCATGCCCGAGGTGTGCCTTTACTCTGAGCACAGTCTTCCTCTGGTGTGACAGAGGTTAGGGTTTGGAGGGTAGGGTGTGTGAGAGAAGGCACCTCCTGCGTCTGCCAGCATTCAGAAAACAATGAAGAGGAAACACATAACAAGCTTCACCTCTAAAAAATCCAGACCTAATAACGTTGTGATGTTCTGATTTCAACAGGAAAGAAAAAAAAAAATTTAAAAACCACTTTCTGTATTTGTTCTCAACCACTTGAAGTAGTGTTACTGAAAAATAGTTGCTTAAAATTGCATACATATATAAGAACAGAAACGGAACATAGAAGGTTGGGCTGAGGCTAAGAGAGGTGAGGGGTGCTGCAGACAGGGCTATCAGGCTGTGTTTCACAGAGAGAATAGCAAAACGGGCACTTTATTTCACTGGCTTCTTAACTTTCTCTCCATGGCTCCCCAGCATTTCAAAGCACAGTTATTTTTATATAGTGAGCATGTGAGCAGACTGATGGTGCCATGTCTCTCTCACAGGTATGCCTGCTGCATCTTTAGTGACCCCCGCTGATGTTATCAAGACTAGATTACAGGTGGCTGCCCGGGCTGGCCAAACTACATACAGCGGAGTGATCGACTGCTTCAGGAAGATATTGAGGGAAGAGGGCCCAAAAGCTTTGTGGAAAGGAGCTGGAGGTACAAATTGGTTCTTAACTAACCCTTTGGTATCAGGTAAATTTTTTAAAAATCTGATTTCTGTTATTTCCCCATTTCTTTGAAAGCTCGTGTATTCCGGTCCTCACCCCAGTTTGGTGTCACCTTGCTGACGTATGAATTGCTGCAGCAGTGGTTTTACATTGATTTTGGGGGAGTGTAAGTATCAAACTAAACCTCCTGATAAACTTGGGCTGCTTCTGAAACTCCGGCCACATTAAGAAGAGTTCATGGGTGTAGGCCCTACGGGGAGTTAGGAATGAAAATGCTCACAAGGTCATTTCAAAGGGGAACATAACCATACAACTCCTTTATGGGTTTTTTTTGTTGGGGGTGGGGTGGTGGTGCTGCGTTTTTGCTGTTGTTGGTACTGGGGTTTGAACTCAGGGTCTCACACTTACTAGGAAGGCATTCTATCTCTGTAGCCATGCCCCACTTGTGCTTTAGTTACTTTTCAAACACAGGCTCAAATTTTGCCCAGACCAGCCTAGAAAACAATCCTCCTATGTATGCCTCCTG